ATTTTGAAGTGCGGCCCTGGACTATTATTTATAGGGCTGAGGTGGCCCTCTGTACAAGTTGAGTTTGACATGCCTGATCTAGCCGATGCCATGGACGCTAGACACCTGAGCGAGATTATGACGGCGCTGAGCATTATTACAAGTAAATGGTGCCCCAAATGAGTGCGGTCAGAGAAGGGAGGTCGTAATCATTAACAGAAGGGGTTACAAAATTATGATTATTAACGGGAACATAGTTATTGAAAGATATACAGCAAAGTTTATTAAGGAAACCTGAAAATGTAAATACTGTAAATTAAAATTATTCGAAAAATGATCACCAACCCACCATACGAATGGTCTGAAGGCAGTTACCGCGTGGAGGGAAATCACCACGATAAACTGTGCATAGGTTGATTGGGGCCGACAGCCAGAAAGGTGGAACGCGTGATAACATATCTCCCCAGCTGGACACAACAGCAGCCCCGTAACAAGAAGCGCTGGTACAATATTAATGATGAAAGTAATTCAGGAATATGCCGTTCAGATGGCTTCGGGTGGCATGATATACGTACGTATTCTGAGGACCGGTTCAGACATTCAGGTAATACTAAGGTTATTACAAGGGCCGTGTCATAGCTCAAGCGGTTAGTCGCTGGTTTCCCACCGCGGCGGCCCGAGTTCAATCCCGGGTCTGGTCAAGTGGGATCTGTGGTGGACAAAGTGGCGCTGGGGCGGGTTTTCTCCGAGTACTTCGGTTTCCCCTGCCAATCTTCATTTCACCAATTGCTCCACAATCACCCTCACCTATCATCTGGGGCTGGTACAATAGGCCAGAAGTGGCCGCAGTACAAAGCACTTAGTCCCACCCCACTAGCATTAAAAAAAAGGTTTTTACAATGATCTGAGAGACTGCAATGTTCGTATTACAGATGCGAGGGATTCATAAAGTAGATCACTGAGTTGGACTCATGTGGCATGATATGCATACTGTGACAAGACGCCTAAAAGCAGGAATAGTTCAGTGCATAGGCTTGTGGGAAAACCAGACCGCTGCTGTGAAATTAACACGTTTCCGCAGCAACAGATAAGCACGGAATAATAGAGGAACTGTTGGGGGTGGAGACTTATATTCAGTCATCCCCGAAGTTATAAAGAAGGCGACACATAATTGATTACGAGTCTGATACTTGACTTAATGCAACGAAATGGCTGCTACAGTTCATATGCCGCTCAAAGTCACATCATTTGATGCAAATTGCTTAAGAGCTCGGTACGCAGCTCCAAGACTTACATCTCTCAGAGACACATCTTAAACTACACGAGAGGTTGTACAGGACGTCCGGATGAAATGTATCCAAAACAAAATCATTATATCTCGGAAAGAATTTATTATACACATTAATGGGTTACACCATTACAAACTATCAAAGTTTTTTTTCTGCGTATACAACTTTCTCAATAAATTTAAATGTGGGCTCCCTTGGCGGCACAAATATCCATGCTTGAAGCAAGTTTGGTGTTACCGTAGCCATAGCGTCCCTTATGCGGGCTTTCAGGTGTTGAAGGTCGTTGATCTTAATCTGGCAGACAATGTTCTTCACATAACCCCACAAGAAAAAATCCACTGGGGTTAAATCTGACGACCTAGGAGGCCAAGCGATTGGTCCACCTCTGCCAATTCATACCCCAGCCATCTCTCTGTCCAGGTGATACGTAACATGGTGGCAAAAATGTGGCGGCGCATGCGCGTAAGTCGGGCATGAAAAAAGAAATTTTCAAGTTTTACTTTCCGATGACAAACCGGATACGTGTATGACAATTAGTTTCCGAGAAATATATTTTTTATTTTGGATACCTTTCATCCGGACATCCTATGTAAAGTTGTTTATAGCGCAAAATGAAGAATTTCAATAACACGCTGTAGGGCCAGGCATATTCATAAGAGAGGATATTACATACATAAGGGCTATAAGTTCAGTTCGAAAAAAAGTCTCAATGGGCACCAAGATGAACCGATTGGCGGTAAATAGTCAGTCGTAAAATGACTCTGACTCTGATTATGAGTCATAAGAGCAACCCGTGCGGAGGCGAGGTCGAATACCTCCACCGTAGCCCTGCGAGTAGCAGGAGGTGACGAAAATGGAACCCAGTTCCTGGGGATACAACCGGGCCAACCTGTTCCTGGGGAATATAAATACGGGGACCTGGCCCTCCAGACTGGAGGATTCTCGAATCTGAGATGGTAAAATGTGGTCATGTGTCTCGTGGTACTCGGACCTGGGAATGAATTCGCTGGAGAGAACCAGCAGCAACTGTAGAGGATGTTACATCCGCAAGTGTTCAGCTGGACAATAAAAATTCTGGTCGTGGGTCTCAAGGGAATTGTCACCAAGACGAATTGACTGGCGGTTCCCCGCCAGTCGTAGAGTAGTTAGTTAGTTATTTAGAGAGGGTGGGTTTCCCCATGCACCGCGACCAGTTTGATCTATTGTGCTTCCCTCTATGATATTCTACCAGTCTCTATACCCTACCGATAAATGGTGCGTACCATCAGTCCCGCCGAGCAAGCGAGTTCGGCCACTTGTTTACCGGTGTCTATAATGCTTCCCCCATCTATCAGAGGCCTTAGAGACTATTGTTGGGCGGGAAACGTCCTGGAATTTGGCTCAGTGATCCCCTTTGGGGATATGAGGTTCTTTTACGTGCCGTAAAGTTACGATACGGGACACACAGCTTAAAGTTCCTCCCGGAGGACTTGTTCCCTGACTTTTTCCGCCCTTAAAAATTCGACGACCTCCGCCGGGTATTTGAACCCGCGTACTACGAGTCATGAGGTGGGAACGTTACCTCTAGACTACGGAGGCCGCTCAGTCGTAGAGTAACTCTGACTTCGACTCTTGACTCTGGTTCGGAATCATTCATTCGTCATTCGTAAGAGACCTCAAAATTCAGTAGATGAGTTGAGTGTTCAGCTGCGAAGTGTTAACCAGCGGACAACGGAAGCTGAAGAAGTGACCGACTCGTAAATCAGAACCAAGTCAGTCGCAGTAGAAGAGAAGACACTCGTAGTCTAGTAAGAAATGGATTGAGTCTTAGGCAGTTATTGACCGGTAGTTGTTATAACCGAGTGTAATTAAAAGTGAACGTAAAAGAAGGGGTCAATACATTCAATCGTCTAATCCAGAACCCGTTATTACTAGTCACGGAACCCCTGACACGTGGCAATACCATGTTAAGATCGGTCAAGGCGTTCAAAAGTTGTTAAACACACATACACACACAAAGACAACAAAGTAATCCCACACGCCTGGTTTTATCTTTTGAAAACAAGGAAAGTACGCTGAAATGCACTATTCACTGAATCACAATGAATTCAACAGGTAAGGTAAAGGTAATGCTATCCCTGTAACAGGTTGTGGAGGCCCACAGGGTTATGAGGTGTCGAGGCTCCCCCATTTTCTAGACAATCGACTCACAGATGGCCGTGGGACTGTCAGCCTTATGCGCCGGCCGCACTTTTTCCCCAAGGAAGATTCCTGGTACTCATTTCTGTAACAGGCTGAGTCGACCCCAGGGCCATAGTGCGACCGGAAGGATGACTTCAACTGAAAAATCCAATTATCTCACTGGGAATTGAACTCGCGACCTTCCGGCTTGTAGTCCAGTGTCTCGACCAACTACGCTACCGCGTGTCCATTTAACGAATTCAACAACAAACCACAAACACATAGCAAAAATCAACACAGGCAATAGGTAAGGAAGTCAATACACACAACACAACATCCATCTACGGTTTACAGCTTCTATATTTCAAATATAAGCAGTTCGCCACAGCACCATAAACAACAGCTTCACCAACAGCACGTACCGAAGAAACAATATAAGAAGCAACTCTTTATTGACTGTCACAACACAACAAACAGAAAAAATCAAGGACAGGGCCCAGCTATGGTTTCGCTACATGTTAGAGCCACTAACGGCCATCATCAGGCAAACACATATTAACAAACATACATCATTGAACTGCAGTATATTAATTGGATACAGTGTTATTAATCATTGAAAATACTTTGCGTAAAAATACAATAAGTCAGATTATATAAAAACTAAAAGTTATTGCATAAAACAAGATAAAATCGATTTTTTTCTGTTTGTTGTGTTGTGACGGTCAATAAAGAGTAGTATATTGTAACACAACAGGATGCACGAATGAAAAATATAAGTACGACCTACCCAGCACAACTTATAACAACAACCAGCGACACAATGAACCTGAAATTATAAACGAACGACACACGTCCCTTTAGTCTTAACCATAATTTTAACCACTGACAAAGTTTCAAACTCCTCACAAAACTGCACAATTTTTTTAATTTCATTCATTCATCCATTCATAAGTAATCTGTCACACGACAGGTCCACAGTCTCTTCCAAAACAGTTCCTCCGCTTAACGCAATCTCAAGCTTTCTCCTTCAAACAAAAATATCCTCTTCTGTCCCCAAGGTCATCCAGCATCTTCTTACGTCTTCTGGTCACTTCTATCCGCCCCTCCGGTTTGTTTTGTCTCCAGAGAAAACATCTCGCATACATGGTATCTCTGTTTTTGGAAAGAGACTATCCAGGAAAACTGATAATGTGGTAGTTTTTCCATTTGCTTTCCACATCGCAGTACAACAGCCGTTCAAACCACTCTGGTCACGCCTGTTGCCATACGAACTTGAACCATCTCGAGCATCATGTCGCTGCTGATGACGCTGCTTCCAGCATCCGTTTAATTTAATTTAACGGAAACATAAATCACGGCCGAAGATAGGCTATCTAGACTGAGGTATTTCGTGGTTTTCCTTAGCGCCTCCATGCACATGCAGGAACATTACCTCAAATTACGCCAATGCCGGATTCATTCGACATATGTCAAATTCATTATTCACTAACCACCGATTCCTTGATGTTATATTGCCTGAGCTGCTGACAATTTTGTTAAATAAACCAAAAATAATATTAAAATTCAACTTACCACTTTCTTGGCGGCAGGGGATCTACTGGACTTCATATCTCCCTGTCTCTCTGGACCCAAAGGTTACTGCCGAAATGATTCCCAGGGAAATGAATAGCATCGTTCCCTCTGCTGATAACACAATCTCGTTCGCAATCTAAAAGAAAAAGACAAAAATTAAAATCTCTCACACAGTAAGAAATTAGCAGACTAATCTTCCAAATTGCAGAACTTTTGAAAACTCTCAAGACTGCCAACTTTGCTTCTAAAACGGCCGAAGTATTTGATACTGAATTCAAATGTTCCGATAGCTACATTACTTCGCGCCCTCGCAAACACCCGTCCATGATTCATCGCCCAGACAGTGCCTCCCACCAAAATAGACGTTCTTAGTCAGGCGGGTTATTTCAACCAAGCAAAAAACGTTTATGCACCATCAGTGGAATATATTGTTCATACCAACAATCACCGTCTATAAAACCTCAGTTCAATTCCAGGCAGGGGCAGGAATCTTTCTCTTATGGCTCTGTGGCCGACCAAATGGGATCGGTGAATATCCACTCCCGCTATATGCCCTCACGGCATGAGTGCAACACAGCCGAAACAAAATGGGGAACTAGGATGCTCGCCTCACCCTGCCCTATACGAACACAGATGTCTATGCAACGCAGTACGAGAAACACCTATGGAACGTTGATGAGCAGTGTATGGAAGTGGACAACGCTCCACGCCTTATTAACCTCGCCACTAGATCTGATTTAGTGCAATGGACGCTCGGTATGCCCCACAATCATTACAAAGCCTTATTTGAAAACGAAACCCGGTCCTTTTGAGCACTGGGAGGCAGGTGGAAACCGATGATAATTTCGTTCCTACTCAGTGAATGCCAAGAATCATTAGCCCTTTCAAAACTGGAGAGGGAAGAGAAACAGAAAATATGAGGCGGTAGTTAGAGACCATACTTGGGGGAGGGGGACAGAAACATTTTCCAGCGTTAAAGGTTCCAAGGCAGTGTTTACTCTTCCTTCTGGTAGAGGTAGGTTTGAGAGGGTATTATTTTAAAAGCGCGTCCAGATTACTCTTGCTCGTGCTCGTCGGGAGACTCGTCTGGTTTTTACTTGTGCTCGTAAATCTTCGTCCACACTACTTCAGTTGCTCCCCAGGTTTCGGCGCGTGAGGATCCGTATATTTACTCGTAGTGTGTATAGGCTGTAGTTGTATTGTAATTTATTGGCTATAGTTTTAAAATTAAAATTTTAAAATTTGCTTGTCTCGTGACTTGTCATATCGTCCACATTACTCGCGAGCATAGCGAGTCACACAAGCACAAGTAATGTGGACGCGCCTTAAGAAGTGAAAAAGGTAAAGGGTTGGATGTTAACCGGCATTATATACACAAACCCCAATGTCAGTCCTTATCTGGCTGTTGCTTTATTCGAGGACAAAAAAAAATACATGTCTCACACTGCTTCATGTGCGTATTTTGGATGAGCAACAGACAATTTCGTGACATGCGCAAAAAGTCTACATGCCTGTACACCCATATATTGTAATTATTCGTACGCCAATAGTTTTAGAGCGGGGGGGTCACATGTTACATGAGGTTTGTCGGTCATTTAATTAACAAAGGATCGTGTATTACAGATCACTGCAGTCTTCTTGCTGGTCATCTCCGTTTCTTTGGTCGTCCAGCAGGACGATGCGACGGCTGTTGAACTGGACCCTCTAGAATTCCTTCAGAATTCTAGCTGCCTGTTCAGCTCTTTTAAAGATTGGGGGGGGGAGTCTCGACCGATTTACGGACTGAGACCCATTCCAGCCAAGTGTTTGCTTTTGTATTGCTTCAGATTGCCGTACGAGAGGATTATTGTGCAAGCATGGACAGGGGACGCAGATATCGATAGTAACACCCTAATTCTTCGATTTGGCCGTTTTCAGCGGTCAGTTACTTCTGACGATACAGCGCCCTAGCTAACTTTTTCATGTGACATTTTATTAACGGCATTCCTCTCTGGTTATGTAAGGTTTCAGTTGGTGCTGACCTTGGCAATTTCGTTAGTATCCTGAGGAATGCCAAAATTGCCGTCAAATTAACAGCACAGGCGTATATGGCGTAAAGTTAGGCCGAATTAACGGTGCTTAAACTGTGCAAGCGGTAGGACAAAACCTGCTCTCCACATACAAAAGCACACCCAATCGAAGCCTGGTACAACGACCCGTCAGTATATACAGTTCTATAGTCAGACGACCGGGAATGTAGTTCCACAAAATATCTGTAACAGGATGTGAGAGACGTTACGTGTCTGGGAAAACTACCTGCCTCGTAGAGTCGGCATCTGACACGATATGCAACAAGTGGATACAAAGATGCTCAGAAGGTTGAACAATGCACCACAGCTTGGGAAGCTGTGTGCGCATTCAGCTCGAACCTAACCCGGTAGGTAGGGTCGTATGCCATATCACAGGATAGGTGAAGGGGCTGCGTTTCCAAGGAGAGGGAGGCGTTCTGGCACACATATTCTCTTACGATGACCGTGCGGTAGGCGCCACTGACAAGACGAATCCTAGGGTTATGGACAGGATTTCGACACTGTGTCGTACACGACAGTCGTAAAGAATACCTTATACGAAGTTAAAACTTTGAGAAGGTGGTGGTGGTGGCTTTACAATTTCCTTGAGAGCAAATCGAGCGGCTGCAATGTTAGGATGGCATGAGAAAATGCTTGCTCACTACAAATTTCCCTGAAAATTTTATTTCAATTATACTAAAGTTATCTATACAAAATAAAAACAATTTGCATAATGCTGTATTTGCAATCTGTTAGAAAAAAGAGTATGTATTAGAATACATATAATCATCGATCTATCCTGAAATTCTACATGATCCTTGTGATCAGAAAACAGTCTGTACTTTCTGGTAATGTAGTAAGCAGCCCGAAACACTTTAACAGTGGTTTTGGCAGCGACTGCAGAAATTCCTGAATATTTTCACCAGTACCCTTCAGCTAGGCTTCATCATGCACATCAGCTGCTGTCTTGTGCCCTTTCTAGTTAAACAAAAAGCAAACAAACAAATTCCGTGGTTTTACACGAACAATACAGACCGAGCGACCGCCGCTTGTCGGCGAAGTTAGTGCCAACTTTAGCGGATAGACGGTGTCGCGTGGTCAGCGCAAAGAATCCCCACGGCCGTTAATTTCGGTTTTCTAGACCGGAGGCGTTATTTCCTTGAAACAGCTCCTCAATTATCCTCACGAGGCTAAGTGGGCCCCGTTCCAGACACACTACTTCTCAAAAAATCTGGTAGCGTATTGCTCTTTGTGACTGATGCCCCAAGTTATATGATAAAAAAGCAGGTACTGCTCTTAAAGTTATATTTCCAAATATGACACATTTGACTTGCTTTGCCCATGGGTTGCACCGTGTTGCAGAAATAATTCGTGCAAATTTTCCACTTGTTGACAAGTCGGTGTCTTCTGTGAAGAAGGTATCTGTTAAAGGTCCATACAGAAGATAAGCTTTTAAAGCAGTAGCACCGAGCGTTCCACTTCCGCCAGAACCAATTTTAACGCGCTGGGGCACGTGGCTGTGTGCAGCGAGTTATTATACCAAACATTTAGAAACAGGAATGTCGCGAATACATTTGATCCCAAAAGTGCAGCATCAATTCAAATTGCCCAAGATGTACTAAAAACGCAGAACTAGAAACTAATCTTTCCTATATATCTGCTCACTTCTCTCATCTTCCATCCGCCATTTCCTCACTGGAGGCAAGCAATAGCAATACTACTATGTATCAGTCGTTAAGTGTGTTCAAAACCACTGTTTCCAAATTGAATTCGGTTCCTGGAAGAGTTGGTGAAGTAGTAAAGGAAAAAGTACACAGCATTCTTTAAAAAAATCCAGGATATGAACAAATTTGTGAAACTGAAGAAATTTTAGCCGGTAAGCGTACTGAACTGCCGGTCACGGTAGCCGAGCGGTCTAAGGCATGCACTGTCTTCGCTCGCTCGGAAGCCGGGATCGTGGGTTCGAATCCCACTCAGGGCATGGATGTTTGTGTGCGTTTTTCTGTGTTTGTCTACAGGTAGAGGCCTTGCGACGAGCTGATCACTCGCCCAAGGAGTCCTACCGTCTGTGTAAGATCTAGAAAAACCGAAGTGAACGGAAGTTCATGGAGGTAGGCCTAGGCCCACTGGGGCTGTAGTGCCAAGGAAAAAGCGTACTGAACTACCAAGTAAAAAATCACTAACAGTGGAGCAAATAGCGGCTTTTGTACATGCGCCCCTAAGTTCCTGTGATGTGGAAAGAAGTTTTTCCTACTATAAGGACATCTTACGAGACAATATGAGGCGACGAACTATGGAAAACTTAGTAATTGTGAACTGCAACAGAAGAGAAGTTGAAAGTTCGGAGAGCTAAATGTGAGTAACACTGGTTTTTTAAATTTGTAATGAAATATGTTGGCTTTGTTGCACGATTTGTATTTACGTATATTTACGTATTTACGTGAATCGTTCTGTGATTACATAAAATGAACTTAGATATTGATTTGTTGGTCTTAAAATAATATAAAAGCAATTTTAATACTATTTGGTATAAATTTTATGTGCATATTTTGGTACATATTTCGGAAGTTTTTGATGCATAAATGCATACATATTTAAGGGATTATTAGGGCATAAAAATCCGGTCCCTAGTCATGACTTATGCCTGTCCCACCTGGGAGTATGGGGCGGACGCTCACCTCTTAAAACTGCTTCGCCTGCAGAATACAGCACTCCGCGCTTCTGTGAATATTTACATGCGCACGCTAGTCCGAAAATTGCATGTGGCCTTAAAAACTTCTTACGTGTGCGACTACATAAATAAATGTTGCAGGGTACAGGGGAAAGTAATAAAAAATCACGAAAATCAAGATGTACGTAGTATTGTAGGCATATGAAGCATAGTTGGCGGCGCTCAGCCTACGACCGTTCAGTGGATTAATTGCGGTTTCGAAGTAGTTAAATAAGTTAAGGCATAACCAGTTACACAACCCTGCATTGACCGAAAACCTCTGCATATCTTGCATAAATGTTACTTCCTATAGTGCAGTGACAAAGGGTGCGGAGTCCATAGTGATCCGGAAGCCGTGACGGCGCGTATACGTATACTCGTGCTGAAACTACGATGCGTCAAACGTAGTGTCTACACAGAAAGACCCCATTTCTAAACACGCAAATGTCTACGAGAGAACAAAAGTCTTGGATATAAATATCGACAGCGACGCCAGGAATGACTGTGCTGGCGAAGACCTGCAGAAATTTGACGGACCGACCGACAAACCAACCAACCGACAGCAGACAGCCGGGGCTGCCTGGGACGGCTGATCGCTCCCAGAGCCGTCAGACAGTTGAACATGGCCATGATTCCCGTGGAACTTGGAACCAAGAATCACTGCGCTGGCAGCAATTCAGCAGTCCGTCAGTCAGTCGAGAGCTCAGAAGTGGTCAGAAAAAGTCCATGTCCGTCAGATAGTCCCATTGATCCCACTGATGGGATTCCCTGCCAAGCAACAACTAGTGAGGTCGCAGCAAACTGGGGTGAGAAGTAGAGAGAGTGAATTAGTGAGCGCGTTGTAGTTACTTGTAGTTACGTGTTATAAGAGTTCAATAAATCCCGTTACCAATCCAAACCCCGTGTCTAGTCACTAACACGCGACAATATTATTTAGACAGAAGATCTCCCCTCAATTTGTGTGGCGTACATGTGATCAGTGTGTCTGCGTTATCGACACAGTAGTACGAGTATAATCTTGACTGATGTAGGAGGAAGCCGTTGTGATATATTAGAATATATCACCGTTGCACTAGTTGGAAGGCCTGAGGAAAACATTCAAATTTAGTAAAGATCGCCGGGATCCAAACCGGGTACCTCCAACGTGTGATCGCATGCCGTGCCTTCGGATTAACCTCCTTGGTGCCTTTCTGAAGCAATGTGCCGAAAAAATTGATGGGTCCATCTTTACGAAACTGCCACAAATGCATGCTATCCACTGCACTTCGAGGTCACTACAGATGGTTTTAAATTATTGTTCACCATTCAGACACTCTGCATTTTGCCCACAATGTATAGGTTTCGTATGGTACTCAGAAGAAACACTACTTATTTCCCTTAACAGCACTGACTTAACAATGGAGAAGTAGTTGCCTTCTTTGGGGTAGTATCTGTATTTTTAAATATTATTTTGACGAATTTTTGGTTGCGAAGGATCACAGGAAACGCCTTGCTACGAGACCAGCTACTGACTGCGAGTTTACACGTTTTTCCTCAATGTCCTCAAGCAGTGCAGTCGCTGTCATACACTGATATATGCCATGACCATGACCAAATTCACGTCGTTTCAAACCACTTAAATTTAATTGGCATTGTTATACACGCTACTCAGCTGCTGTTTCTGCTTATCTGCATCGGTAAAGTACTTCTCACACGATCACTTCTGGAAATCCATCATCTGGTTCCTGTTTTCAATGGGCCTCCGAAGTCGTCTCTCCCATTCAGGTTTTATAAACGAATTTTCAAACCTACTTTCTCACTATGTGCTACCTTCCTGCCCAGCTCAGCCTCCTTGATTTAATCGGTCTAACAATCTTCGATGAATTATATAATGTACGAAGCTAATCATAATGTATTTTTCTACATCCAACCAACACCACGTTTTCTGGAAAACGCTTTCACATCTTCAGTCTTTAACACTTTCTTCCAAGGCTACTCGCATCACTTGCCATTCTAACCTGTAAAAGCAGGAAGATGCTAATCACATGAAGCGTCGCGTATTGCACAGAACGCTCGTCTTTCTTAACAAAAACGGTAACAATAAATACATCTTATATAAAATGGCATACTTTGCTCCCTGAACAATTTCTTTTACAAACACTCTCCCAATTATTTCACCAATGCAATGTAACAAGTAATACAAATATTACATGTCTGTAAAAATATTTAACAAATTGGCAAGCAACGTAAAATTAAACTCTTACCTAGCGTTTTACAAATCCAGCACAAACTGTAACTATCTTCCTTGTGTTAAACACATTATTACACTGCTTACTATGCCTATGAGGCAACATTCGTATCTACACACAACTGCAACTTTATACTACATCTTATAACCCTTATTACCGGACAACACAATACATCTGCCATGCGGCAACTGACGAGAAACAGATGCTTCAACTTCGATTAATCGATAGTTAACATTTGCGCTTCCACTTTATTTCCCACGCAGCTTTATAAAATTTCCCATTCATTTGGTATGTCAGTGTCTAACCTAAATACTCAAGTGAATGTCCTAAGTAACTATGTAAGTAGCCTGGATAAACATCAAGTTTTTCAATCAGATTCATTTCTGTCATAAACACCGCATTTGACATTACATCAGTGTTGCTTATAGGAACGAGCTGGTCGTTCGATAAGTCATTATTACCTTTACCGAATTAATATTTAACTTAAATGTTCTAAATATATTATTTGTACATTTTACTGCGGAACCAACATTCAGAAACTTGTCTACAGTGAATGATATTGGTGATAGCATAATTATTATATACAAACACTTAATTGTGCTTTGTTATTTAAAGCAATTACCCTAAATCCAACAATAAACAATCGAAAATAATTGATAATGAAGGTACAATGAATTATACAGACATTTTCGACCAGAATATGACCGCCATCTGTTGGCAGAAATATTAACTAAAGATGCCTGAGTCGTTATGACCGGTTATGCATGACCGTGCATGACTGTACGCACTGACGCATAGAAGCGCGAATGTTGAGCTTTGCTATCCTCACACAGGTGACAAAGAGATTAAATACTATATTTGTAGTTGCTATATGGCGATGTAATTGGATAGACAGCGTCGAATGGTAGGATGATGGTAAATAATTTCACATCCATTGACAGCGTAGTTGCTGACACTTTTTCACTAGAAAACCGAGATTAACGGCCGTGGGGATCCTTTGCGCTGACCACGCGACACCCTCTATCCGCAAAAGTTAGCACTAACTTCGCCGACAAGCGGCGGTCACTCGGTCGGTATAGTTCGCTTGCGGACTACAGGCCACAGATTTTTCGTTTGTTCTCATGTCCACTTACCACCTCCTGCACTGAACTCATGGTCGGTCCCAAATGGTTAACAACCCGCTTCTCGGTTTCATCTAATGATGGCTTTATCTCCGACCCACCGTTCACCGTGAGATTTACATAGGTTGAAAGAACGGGGGGGGGGGAAGGAAAAGCCATCTCTCTGCGTTATTATTAAGCACCACTCCATGAAGAGGAAGAGCTCCACCATTCTTGTCCTCATCACTAAATCGAGGTTAGTTATCGTTATCAGCTTCACGCCCTGGCCACCACATCAGACTGTCTTCAATGCCAGTAGTGATGGATCCCAAACATTTCACGATTTGGGTACTTTACACCATAATGTTCAGAGTCTGGGTAACAAATTATTGGATTTGAATGAATTGCTGAGTTCATGGTTATCAAAGCCTGCCATCTTATGCTTTTCAGAACACTGGCTTCAGAGGGATCATCTTGTACACATAAAAGATATTGATCAGTATAAATGTAGTGCCAAAAGTCATGGGATAGCAGTATGTAAATTCATTTTTAAGTGACGCCACCATCCCTTGACCGCTTGGGAATGCCCAGAGCAGTATCAGTTGTGAGGTGTTCTCTCGTGAGTCAGGTTGAACACCGGCCAGTCTGCTCATGGCAAGCCGATGTGAATTATCGGAATTTGAATGGGGCATGACAGCGGGTGCCAGGCGGATGGGACATTCCATTTCCGAAGTTGTGCGGTCATTCAACATTCCTCGGTCCATGGTATCACGTGTATACCAGGAGTACCTTGTGGTAGGCATTTCCATCCACCGTGGACAGTGCAGTGGCCGACCACAGGTGCTTAATGATCATGACCAGCGGCGTCTAGCTAGAATTGTCCATGGTAACAGACAAGCGACACTTGCTGAAATCACATCCACATTCAATGCAGGAGGTACCAGATGCATATCCAGTAGGTCAGCGCAGTATTCTTTAGCTTCCATGGGATATGGGAGCTGAAGTGTCTCTGTTAACACCACGGCACCGGGCACAGCGCCTCACCTGGGCTTGTGACATCGCCAATTGGACCCTGGAGGATTGGCAACATGTGATGTGGTCCGATGAGTCACGGTACCAGTTGTTTCGGGCGGATTGTAGGGTTCGGGTGTGGCACAGACCCTACCAGGCCATGGACCCCAGTTGTAAACAAGGCACCATGCAAGCCATACTGGTGTGGGGTTTGTTCACGTGACATGAGGTGGGTCCGCTCGTCCACCTAAATACGTCATTGACCAGTGACCGCTATGTTACACTGCTTGGTGACCATTTGCCGCCCTTCATGACTTCATGTACCCCCACAACGATGGGATATTCCAGCAGGACAATGCACCGTGTCATCAGGCCGGAGTTGTCAAGAATTGATTCAAGGAGCATTCTGGAGAGTTCCGATGAATGGTGTGGCCACCACGTTCACCCGACATGAACCAAATCGAGCATTTATGGGACATGGTGGAGAGGTCCATTTGCACCCAAAATCCTGCACCTACAAATACCAGGGAGCTGTGGGCGACTATCCAGATGGCATGGCTCAACATCTCTCCAGAGGTCTTCCGTCCACATGTGGAATCGATACCACGTGCTGCACTTCGCCGGGCTACAGGGGTCCAACACAATACTAGGTACCTGTCCCATGACTTTTGGCACTTCAGTGTATAGGCAAGCATGGGGGCTCTTGTATATTTGCTTTAAATGAACTAAAAATTAGAGAGCTTCCCTTCTTAAAGAATCTACGAAGGGAACAGTAATTCTGTGTGTCATCCACCATTGTCAGAACCATTTAGAATCTAAGAGATTGGAGGTTGGACAAAACTTCATAATGAGAAGCTTCGTAACTTGTACTCTTGGACAAATATAATTAGAATGACTAAGTCAAGTAGGATGAGATGGGAAGGGCATGTAGCATGAATGAGGGTGAAGAGGAATGCATAGGGGATATTGTTGGGAAAACCAGAAGAAGTGAGACCACTAGGAAGGTCAAGATGTAGGTGGGTGGATAAAATTAAAATGGATCTCAGACAGGATAGGATGGGATGGCATGGACTGGGTTGAGCTGTCTCAGCATAGGGAGCAGTGGAGATTTTTTGTGAACATGGTAATGAACCTTCGAGTTCCATAAAATGCTGGGAAGTTCTTGAGTAGCTGCATAATTAGCGGCTTCTGAAGAAGGGCTCAGCTCCATGAGTGAGTAAGTGATGATGGAAGAAGGTGATATTTGATTTCTTTATTATAAATTTGTTGACTGTCATATAATAATACTGTATAAAAATTAACAGATTTTTAGCCACCATGTGAACAGGAAAAGAATACTGAATAAGCTGCTAGTGATCATGTGGCTAGTTAAAGACGCTTCTTTTTTTCTACATGGACAGAAAACAACCACTTTTCTCACCATCTCTAAACAGAAGAAGCAGTTTTTTACTTCTATGCAGAAATAATCGTAGCTTTGTTACTAAGAATCCATCCAAGCCCAAGGTCCTGTGGATTATTTTATAACATACTGAGACTGTATGGTGAAGAATCATAAGCCCTGTATGCAAGCAGTGAGCTGAAGGCATGCCTTTAATGGCACATTATCCTCCATGTCTGGAGACCATTTTCTTCATCTGCAATCTGACGATATGCCATGCCATCATGACAGGGTTCCATTTAACATGAACAGAATGAGAATACACAGAGAGAAGAGTTTTTTAAAGAAAAAATTGCATAGACAGAACTAAAGTGTTCCAGTCATTTTATGAGCGTAATATTGTAATGTACTGCACTATGGAGGACATCTCCTCCCCTGCCAGCAGTGACATAATATCAGAGCGCTGTCGCTACTACGGTAACAGGCCAGTCAACACTCCGCCCCCCTCCCCCGCGGTGACGTAGCGGGGGATGCCGCGGTTACAACATAGCAGTAAACAATTCTCGACAGCGTTGCCCAGCAACACCTGTAAACACGGCGACTAGGCAACAAAGAAGTGAGGTGTTTTCCCGTTATCTGGCTGAGGGTTTATAAGAGAACCACACTGCCTAAGGAGTCAGTTAAAATGTAGCAGCCACCGAAGACAGTTGAATTGTAGTAGTCACTGAGTTCAGTTTTAGCGAGTGAATTGTGAACGTGAAGCATACCGATAGTGTGAGAAGTTATCAGGATTGTGTAATTCAGTGAAACTTGTATAGCTCCCGCGTTATTAATACGTAGTGAAGACTACTGAAGATAGTGTGAAGAGATTTGCGAGTAGGTTTTGTAAAGTGTTTAAACCCCTAGCATTGTCATAATTAATTGTAGTTATGATTTGTAGGTTGTTAAATAAACCAACTAACAATCTGAACTGCATCTTCAGTAGCAAAACACGTTACAATATTAACAGATGAAGTTATGTAAACAGGAGTAGAACTGCGAAGTCCAACCCTAGTTCATTCTGAATTCAACATGTGTTATAGATATATCCTTTTCAAATGTCACTCGTGAAGACAGCTAAACACATGTTGCGCAAGGATATTAAGAAGATGATTGCTGTGATGGAACCAGAAGAGAAGAAATATCAGTCTGACTTTGTCACTGAAAAGGTATTTGAACTTGTTGGCTAAGGACAAAAACTACTGTTAATTATTTAAAAAAAGTCTACTTTTTTGTAATTAATGTGTGTGATTCTCATGGCAACTGGCTTGTCTCCCTGTTACCTTTGTGCATAATAAGTTTAATTTTGAAAACAAATGAAATTTTATGTTTCTGTATTCCTATGCTAATTCATAACTTTAACTACTGATAAGCCATCAATTTTATGCTTAAACTGTGAAGAAGTGACAGGAGACTTTATTTCACTTGTATTTTTAAGATACGAGGGGGTACCCAAAAGAAACCGAACTTATTTTTTTTAAACTTATTTATCCAAATTTTAAGCACAAACCTTCAATCCCCTTCAAAGTACTCTCCACTTACACTAATACATTTGTCTAGTCTTTTATTCCATTTTTCAAAACATTGTCTAAATTCATCTTTTGAGATGCTTGACAGTGCCTCCGTCATATTTTCCTTTCATGTCTCTTTTCATTCGAGGAAACAAAAAAAAATTCGCACGGGGCAAGGTCGGGTGAGTATGGAGGGTGAGGAACAGGGGTCATACCATTTTTGGTCAAGAATTGTCATACAGACAGGGCTGTGTGAGCAGGGGCATTGTCATGATGGAAAAACCAGTCACCCGACTGCCACAAATCTGGCCGCTGAGCTCCAAGTCACTCCCGACAGCTCCACAATTTCTTCAATTGTCCGTCGTCGATCTTCCTTGATGATTTCACGAATTTTTTCAACATTTTCATGTGTTCGGGCCATGGAAGGACGACCAGAACGAGGTTTGTCATCAACTGACATTTCACCATTTTTGAAACGGGAAAACCACTCAAACACTTGATTTTTCCTTATAGCATCATCCTTGTACGCCGTTTTTAACATTTCAAGAGTTTCTGTTCCACTTTTCCCGAGCAAAAAGCAGAATTTCCCCGCCGCACGCTGTTCACGAAAATCAGCCATTGCAAAAACAACGATCACACAAAACAGTTGTCACTATAAACTCTGCCGAAACTAGTCCTTACCTTCTGAAGCAACGGTAGTCGGCTTATCGACTCAGGAATGTTAGCTCTATGGGCTCATAGCGGCAAAACACGGTACTACAAAAGCTCTGCCCACAAAAAAAATTAGTTTGGTTTCTTTTGGGTACCCCATCGTACATTTCAGTGTTTCTTAACAACACTGTTGAAAGGACCAAAATTGTTTTAAACCATCTCACTAGTTACTTGAGGGGAAAATTGATGCCAGTTAACTTGTACTCATTTAACTACAGTTAATGACTGTCAAGTTATTTTAATTACTCAAGCCATGGCTCTTTGTTGTTTCAGCTCCTGTCAAGGCCTGAATACCAGAAAAGTCACAGGATTTCTGTTTTTATCAGCATGATTGATGAGATACAAACAGATAAAATTATACATAACATTTTTGAGTCTGGGAAAACTTGCTTCATCCCAAGGTAGAACTACAACAATGATGATATGCTCACTCAGGTTACAATGAAGAATGTACATTAAGTTAAATTTTCATGCAGTCTAATGATTCCTTCAGATCATCCACTTTAGTTGTGGAAGAGTCTGAAACTACAGTTTTAGGCTTTCATATCAGAAGTTGCCAGTATAAAAATCTTTTTGTTCAGATACATTTAAATGAACATTTTCTGCCACCTAGAATTTGCAGAATAAATTAAATGATTTTTATATGTGACATCTTAATGTAAGCCTCCTGAAGATGGTCCACATGGGCTGCAACATATAAAGATAGTAAAATAAGTTACACTCTTATTAAGGTCATTATAAATTAATTTGAATTTACCAAAGATTCCTAGAAGGACTCAGACATAATCTCTATTATAATCACATAGAGAAAATCCATAGGTGTTTCATCCCAAGATTACCGAGTTCATGGTACCTATTTGTCATAACAAACTGTTTGTATTCCCTTTGAAGTGAAGGCTTTGCACACTGTAAGATTATTCTACCACCAGCAAGACTATATTTGACACTGTGTTTTGAATGTTGCCATCTTTAGTTTCTTCAGTCTGATCACTGTCTTTGATGGGAAGGTAATCTCAGAAATGGGAGCTAAAAGCTCAGAATCTTGCTATCTTGCTGTTGTGAGAGAAGACTATATCACTTGCAGAATATATCAGCTGATTAACTTTTGAGCAAGCACACCAGGTAATTTTACATGAGCAGGCATTTGGCTCTTTCAGCTCACCAGCTAGTTTTGTTGCATTATATTCTGCAGGTTGATTTATGTTATGTAGTTTAATCAAATATGATCAATTTGTACGTATGAGGAGTGGCTCTAAAATACCTGGACTGATTCTTTTGCTGACTCCCTGTGGCTTTGGCATATTTGGTGTCATATTAGCCTGTCCTCTCCCCTCCATCAACCCTACCACTTCAAAGGCCATACAGCCAACGCTATGGTAGTAGCCTTTTGTTTTTAAAGGAAGCCGTGTGTCTTAGCTCTGTTGGAATTATGTTAAGTGTTAAAGTAGAGCAACATGTCAATGTGAAATTCCTTGTAAAACTTGGAAAATCCACTACAGAAACATACAGTTTGTTGATGGAAATTTATGGCAATTGTTATCTATCTGATACTCAATTTTATGAGTGGTTCAAAACATTTAAAGAGGGAAGAGGAGAGATCGAAGACGATCCGCATCTTGGTTGGCCTTCCACATCAAAAATAGATGCTAACATTGAAAACGAACATTGAAAACGTCGGTGAAATGTTTCGAAAAAAATGTTGCCTGAGCATTCTAGCAGTTGCTGGATTAGCTAACATTAGTAAAGAAAGTGTTTGACAGATTTTACATGTGCATTTAAGATGAAAAAGTGTGAGCGAAGATGGTTCCAAGAATCGTCACTCCCAAGCACAAGGAAAATTGAATAAACATTTGTGCTGATGTCCTTCAAAACACTGAAAATGATCCAAACCTTTTAGGAAATGTAATAACTTGTGATGAATCGTGGTTTTTTCAGTATGACTCAGAAACTAAGCACCAATCCATGCATTGGAAAAGTCCCAGGTCATGGGAGAGCAAGTCAAATTTCAAAGCAATAATCTTTTTTTCGATATCCGAGGGCTTGTTCACATAGATAGGGTACCTGAAGGTCAGATCATTAACCAGATCTGCTATAAGAAAGTATTGACAACCCTTCATGAATGGGTGAGAAGAAAAAGACCTGAAATGTGGAAGAACAGCTCATAGATTCTTCACCATGATAATGCGCTGGCACAATGCACTGTCTGTCAAGACATTTCTGGTGAAGCATAAGATCCCATGTTGGAACATCCACTCCAGCCCTGTGTGGCTTTTTTTTATTTCCAGAGATCTAGTATGCATTAAAAGGAACCTGTTTCAAACCCATAGATACAGTGAAGGCGAAAGCGACAGAGGTAATGAAGGAGCTATCAGAAAAGGACCTGCAGCATTGCTTCCAACAGTGGAAAATTTGCATGGAGCGATGTAGGGCTCAGAGAGGGGACCACTTTGAAGGTGATAACATTTCTGTTGTGTGATCAGTTGAATAACAGATTTTAGAGCATCAGTCCGGTTATTTTATAGCCGCCCTATGTATTTAAATTGTGCGTTATAATATGTATTAATGTAGTGCGTAAACAAACATTTGATATTGTTCCATTGGAGGTTCTCACAGCAGTGACAATGAAGATTACTCTCTTGTAAGCTGTGATGCTTAAACTGCCTAGTCCAGTGGAAGTTCCCAGTCATGTCAGAGGAATGTACTGACTCTGTCTTCAAGGTCAAAGAGTGAGCCATGCAAGTTACAAGCAGAGCCCTGTTTGTTGCCTTCTTGCTGATTACTTGCTTAGTAATCAGTACATTCCTACGAAACATCTGTGAACTTCTACTGGACTGAAATTCTTTTAAGCTGTTGATATTGTTATGTGTCACATTGACTAAAGACGGGGTTTGGATTGGTAATTGGATTTATTAACAGCCTACATACCATAACTACAAATAATTATTACACTATTGCTGCTTTGCACAATTTACAATCACTCCACACTAATCTTTCAGTCTATCTGCACTAGTCTTCACAGATTTATAACATAAGAACTACAACAGTCTCACTGAATTACACACTCCAAATATTACACATAAATAAAATCTTCTAATCACATGTTAAGTCTTCACAGGCTGACTTATAATTCTTATTCAACTACGAACTTCCCAAGGCTATCTCCTACAGAGAACTGACTTGCTAATTTTTTCGCATGCTTCTGCCACTACTACTGCTACTCAAAATTTGTAACTCATAACTGCTCTGAACGAATTCTGTCACTTACTAATATAGCTGTGGACCAGACATGGACCTACAGTAAACGCATATCACATGATTGCTATCCAGCCAGTCTATTAGCACATTCATTGGATCTACAGAAAACACAGCTTCCTCTTTTGTTGCATGTTGGACTGTGTTTACAGAGCTGTTGCCTGGCAATGTGTTGATCAGATCCATTACAATATTAATTAGGGGCCTCTTCAAATTGATACATGGGTAGAAATACTGTCAGTTGTTCAGATGAGCATTCATTAATTTCAGGGTAACTTTTTGAAAACATTGATCAGTTTCTAATGTTGTATTTTAGCGTCCTGTTGCACTGATTTTCGAACATGATATGCACGCAGTGTCCGTCTTTCAATGCACTCAATTTCACTGGTTACTTCACAACATGTTTCTGCAACGTAGTGCCATCATCAGGTGCTCCATTTACGTTAATCTATTTCATTGCTTGCCATTATGTCATTGTAAAATTTAAAAAGTATTTAAAAATGTTCGTCAATTATAATAAATATTTATATACTACATTACAACACCCGCAACCAAACAGGGAACACACAACACGAGACACGATATACACTGAGAGTAAGAGGAACGACTCCCATAGTGGTGGAACTATGCGCGGTGTTAGAATTGGGACAGATAAGATAAATAATCTTAACAAGTTTTTAGTATATAAATATTTATTATAATTGACGAACATTTTTAAATTCTTTTTAAATTTTACAATGACATAATGGCAAGCAATGAAATAGATTAACGTAAATGGAGCACCTGATGATGGCCTATAGTGCCGAAACATGTTGTAAAATAACAAGTGAAATTGAGTGCACTAAAAGATGGACACTGCATACATATCATTGATCAGTTTCATGGAGAGTTAAACAGCTCCGTCCAGTATGACTGGTGAAGATTTTTCTTATTTCAATTATTTATCAAATTCATTGATCAGTTTATGTGGGGACAGCTAGCAAGGGAGAGCATCTGTGCACTGACACTTTTGTGCCCTGACAGGGGTCAGTGACTACTCACCCCCTATTGCTTGCACTAGGGGGATCCACAAATAACTCCAGCACTCACCAACAAAACTAAAGTAATATATAATGAAATAAAACACCATTACAACAAAGAACCTGTCAATACACACAGAACCTTCAATTAAACCCCTGGTTTTAGATTCCTACATTTAACTGTCTATAATACGCTAAACCTAAATGGCACGAACCAACACCTTTTATTCCTTTCTCAACCACCACTGAACCAGAATTTCTAACAAGCAATCAGTGACCCAACCACGGGCAAGTACTCACTCGTGCTGAACATGATGACCCTGAAGAACACTGGCGCCCTCTCAAGGTTTTCCCACAGGCACACTTTGTTCTAGTCTGTCCGTTTCTCGCAACTGCTAGAAACAGAGTGCCTGAAAACAGCATTTTTCCCAACTCCAAAATTCAACTTTTTTTCAAGTTGCGAAGGCTGCTCACACAAAATCCCTTAGGTCAGCAACTTGCTGGACATTTCCTGTCGTACGAAGCGAAACCTGACCAGTTCTTTCCACTGATGCATAAACAATCTTTTCTAAATACAATTCAGTCAACTGACAAGGAATGCGAAGAGTCAGCCGTGGCTCTATCTCCTCGCCTTCTGGCCAGCCATCTGGCGTTTTAACCTAAGCATCCAATCTTACAAAAATAATACTTAATATGTAATAAAATGGGCACAATAACATGCAGAGATCTTCAGGGGGAAAAAAAGGAGTAGTGACAGCCTGCTTGTTACACAACCTATTGAATTCCTGTCGCATTTCATGTGACGTATGCCTTTGGTTGTATTTTTCTCTAAAATTTTGTGATTTTTTGTCTTCCTCAATACTATGTCATGGTCTGTAATAAATGTTGATCTATTTCAATTTGTAACACGTGGAAAAAATGTTGCATCCAACTTAAATCCAAAGTATGAAGATGCTACAATTCAGTTTCTTTGTGGGACATATTCTGGAGAGAACTAACTTCAGGAGGTAAGCCATTCTTCAGGAGCCAGAAATTCTGGACCTGCTTATGAATTTCCCAGTAATTTATGGAACCTGAAGGCTCTGTACTGTGTTCACAAGAGCGTCCACTTATCCCTATCTTGAGCCAGATCAGTCCAGTCCATATCACCAAATCCTATCTAAGATCCATTTTAATATTAACCAGCCACCTACATCTTGGTCTTCCTAGTGGTCTCTTTCCTTCTAGCTTTCCCACCAATATCCCATGCACATTCCTCTTCTCACCCATTCGTGCTACATGCCCTACCCATCTCATCATTTTTGATTTGATCATTCTAATTATGCTTGGCGAAGATTACAAGTTATGAAGCTCCTCATAATGCAGTTTTCTCCAACCACCCATCATTTAATCTCTTTTTGGTCCAAATATTCTCTTCAGCACCCTGTTCCGAAACACTTCTAGTCTATGTTTCTCTCTTAATGTCAGAGACCAAGTTGCACACCCATACAGAACCATAGGAAAAATTATAGTTTTGTATATTCCAATTTTTTTATTTTTCGACAGAAGGCAGGTTATGGACTGAACGGTAGCAAACATTACCTGAATTCAGTCTCCTCTTTATTTCCTCCTGAATCAGATTTTGATTTTATGCTGTTGTTCACAGATATTTAAGCTGTGCCACATTTTCAGAGTTTCTATTATCTTTATGTCATCATTTTGTCCTGCATTCTGGTGAAAAGACAGCAAAGTATATTTAGTTTTGGACCGATGCTACTCCCGTCTTCACCCTACCACCTATAACCATCGTGAAGTCGGGAGCGGTTCATCGTCACAGGCTCTCGCGTCGTGTTTACAGTACTCCCTAAGGTCGTAGCAGGGAATCCAAACTCGCAGCGGAGGGCCTTACTGAAGTTAATGACTGACCAGATAACAATAACAAGATTTAACAAACACAAACACATTATAACTCACTACAAGAATATATAACCCAATAGACATGGCTGATTTGCCCTATACTGATCCGCATTTCGCGGCATCAACTCAGGGACATGCCCAGTTCCACTGGCCCACCGACATTATGTACGGAAGTCACTTCCTGATCGGCCACAGGCGGCCCCAAAGAAAATAAATATATCCAACAAAACAAGTCAGCCCCAAAGAAAATATATACGTAAAAACGCTAACTAAACCACTCGCGTATCGCCGCCATACTTATCACCTGAGAGCTGGCGACTGCAAGTAACCCCGACGTCTGCGGTCAGCCCCCGACTACGCCGAAACCAAATTTAGAAAAAACCCGCTGAACTGAAATTTAGAAATTACTCCCGCTGGTCCGGCAGACGCCCTCGTCCAAGTGGATCCACTTATCAGACTAACCCCTCTGCTCCCAGCATACTTATCATATTTCCGTGACACTGGGGTAGAAAGGGTAAGGAAATCACGTGGTATTGGGGTGAGGAGGAGGGGGAATGCTCTAGGACCTCGGAAGAAGGGTAGCGTGGGAGATATGGTTGGAATCCATGACGTCACGGAAGGAGCCATTGCTTCAGCACGGCTCAGTTTTCTCAATGTCTTGTATGAAGTTGATAGAAGTGTTATCTCAAGATAATTACTATAGTTAGTTTTATCGCCCTTCTTGTGAATTTGTACAGCACTATACCCCTTCCACTGATCAGCAGTTCTTCCTTGTTCCAAACATAATTAATAAGTTTATGAATCTCAGACCATGATGTTTTACCTCCTGCTTGAATCAGTTCTTCCATAATTTGGTCAATACCTTGCGATTTAAACTTCCTGAATTTGAAATAGCAATTTCAAACTCAAAAAGGACTAGGATCAGGTACTAACGGCTCAAGTCTATGGATTTCTATTTGCCTAACATCACTGATTCTATGTACATTCAGTAACTGAGAGAAGTAGTTCTTCCACCTGTTTCAAACTGTTATGGGAATCTGCAAGCAGAGCACCATCGTCGTCCTTCACTACATTACTGCTAGGTTGGTAACCCATCTTAAAGCCATTTATTCCTATGTACAGGTCTCTAATGTTCTTGTTCTTACTGTTTGTTACAAGCTCATTAATTTTGTCTCTCAGATATTCCCTCTTTTTATTCCTGAAATGCCTGCTGGCTTCACATCATATATTGTTCAGATTATCCAAAGTTATTTTGTTTGGATCACATAGCCACTTCAGTTTGGCTCGTTTTCTTTGATCTAAACATTTTGAGCACCCTTTGTTGAACCATGGCTTATACTTTTTCATTTCATTATAACCTAGACTCTCTTTGGCTTAGATTTTGAGATTCTCTCTAATAGTTTCCCAAGCTTTTTAATATCCACCTTAGCATGTAAGTTTTCCAAAGCTGCAAACTATTTGAGACTTCAACACGATACTGCTTTTTACCCTCTACCTCGTTTAATTTCTTGAGATTGAACCTCTCCATATGAATTATTCAAGGGTCATTCCACGTGAAATCATCCAGAGAGGTCACTCACCCTTTTTTTAAAATAGATATATATATTTTGTACAAAAATATTTTTAAAAAATTGTAATCCGCTCGGTTCTGCCGGTACAGACGTTTTTATAATGCGAAAAAACGCGTTTTCGGCTGAAATGGAGGTTTGCGTTATCTTCCATATCTCGATAACTATTGAAGCTACAGACTCCAATAAAAACGCAAGTTGTTCCTCATGATATGGACTACAAATCATGTTATTATAAGTTTTTACTTAGCTCACTTTCTCTAGGTGTAATTAAACTTGAAACTTACATATCGATTTTGGGAAAAACGCTATTTTTGACCTTGAAAAACCAATAGGAGGGGGAAAGTATCAGATCTGTGGTTTCTACCCTTTGTTGTTACCTACATGGGGAATATAATTACGTAGTTTTGAATCCCGTAACTAGTTCCCAAAATTTTCCAGGAGCTTCCAAACTTTGTTTTGGGCCCAGAATCGGCCATTTTTAACATATATCTCCTTTGGGGAAGCTCCGAAAATTTTTAAATTCACAGAAAATAATGCCCTATTCTAGAGTAACATGGAATTAAAATTACAAGTTTCATATTGAATTAATAGCCAAGTTTTTATAATGCTAAGAAACGCGTTTTCGGCTGAAATGGAGGTTTGTGTTATCTTCCATACCTCGATAACTATTGAAACTAGAGACTCCAATAAGAAATCAATTTGTTCCCCATGATATGGACTATAAATCGTACTATCATAAGGTTTTACTCAACTCGCTTCATCTAGGACTAATTAAGCTCGAAAGGTACCTATCGATTTTGGGAAAAACTCTATTTTTGACCTTGAAAAACCAATGAGAGGGGGAAAGTATCAGATCTGTGGTTTCTACCCTTTGTTGTTACCTACATGGGGAATATGATCACGTAGTTTTGAGCCCCGTACCTAGTTTCCAAAATTTTCCAGGTGATTTCAAACTTTTCTCTGGGCCCAAAATGAACCATTTTTAACATCTCATATCACCAGTGGAGAAGCTCCGAAAATTTTGAAATTCATAGCAAATAATGCTCTATTCTAGAGTAACTTGGAGATCAAATTACAACTTTGATATTCAAATAACAGTGAAATTGTGGGCACTTTGAATTTTACCAAAGATAATTTACCTTGGTAATTGGCTTAGCTGCATCCAGTGGTATTGGCGGTTCTTTATTCGGTATAAAAGACGCGAGATCTATCTTTTGTCATTAAAATCATTTTAATGCCTGTACGTACTGCTCGGAATGACATATTATCAACACTCGGTTCTTAGCTCGCTATAAACATGGATGCAGGTCTCCTTCATTATGTATTCACTATTTAAAATATGGATTATAAGAATGGAAAGTCATCAAGTTTCTGTAGTGTGAAAGAATTCACTAGACTACGTGCTAACAGTTATGCGGTACATGCATCCGCTTCATTGAGACGCTACTACGCAACTTCAGTTTAGGCTTCTCTTCAGATACGCAGACGGTAGCCGTGACATGGAGATGGTGCGGCTGTATTCTCTTCAGGACCTGGAGAACTTGCCTAGAACCAAATGGAACATCAAACAACCACCAGAATCGGAGGAAAGAGAAAATGCTTTGGAAACAGGTTTTGTATCATCAAATTTTCTTGGTTGGACCAAAAATTAAAACAGGCTCTTGCAAATCCATATTCACATATTGCATAAGGCCTACTAAAAATGGGGTTCAAAGTTATGTTCATGGTTTGGAAACCGAGGGACATGTGCACTTGCTGGATCTAGAAATTGAAGGTTAATGTTAAGCTGGAACTTAAGGAACAGGAGGTGAATGGAACTGGTTGAGTGAGGCTTTGGTTTCAGTGGTGATGAAGCTTCTGTTCTGCCATAGCTTACGAGTATAGTCAGTAATAAATACCGTATTTACGCATGTACGACTATAGGCCGCACATTTTTTGCCAAAAATTCAAGAGGAAAACTGGGGTGCAGCTTATATTCGAAATATTCGAAATCACACTTCATTTAAACAAAAAATATATTCATAATTAATAATAATAATTTCTACTCCTGAAATAATATTCCAAGCAAATTATTTTTTATATAATTTCTGTCTGAAAATTGTGCTGCGGCCTATACACGCACGCGGCCTATACATGCGTAAATACGGTACTTTTCATAGTCATGGGACAATGCTCGATTTGTGGTTTATTTTATGAGGTCTTATCAAGTGCACTGGCAGCATGATTGAACTAAATATATTATGTGGTCAGTAAACTACAGTTCAGTTTAGTATACTTAAATATTTTGTAGATATCATAGGATGCTGTATCAAGTGTATATTTTATATTGTGAACGATAATTTGGGATGGTTGTGAAAGTAGGTGGTTGTTGCAAATTTTAAGGAGCGATCTCAGCATTTGTCTGGAAGGAGCGTTCCACCTAGAAAGGAACTGTTTAGGATTAAAAGATGAATTTTTCAAAGATTTAACACGTGTTGCAGGAGGGCTTGATTTGGTCCTTGTGCCGGGTCTGGCCTTCACAGTGAATGGCCGCAGGTTGGGCCGAGGCAAGGGCTATTACGATACGTTTCTGAACAGATGCCGGGCAACCCAGGCCACGCCGCCATTCACCGTGGGACTTGCCTTCAGCCAGCAGATAGTGGCTGACATTCCCACAGACAAGAATGATGCGTGTATTGACCTAGTGCTCTACAGGATGTAACTGTATGGGTGTGAAATTTGGTACCAAAGTGACAAGTGAATGGAGAAAAATAGTGACGGGCTTCACAACTGGTAGATTTTATCTTGTTCTTTTTCAGCTTTCATGGATTATTACCTCTGGCCTAATCCTATTCGGAATTCACAGTGAAACAGTGAATAGTTCAGATATTTTTCTCAGGGTTCATCTATATTCAGCTGGTATTGTGGTCTTCTGGGTTATGTTATCATGTAGTCCAGTAGGTGGGTCCCACGATTGTGGAGGAATAAAGTGCCTCTATTTTTAGTCAGTATGTTCCACCGAGATGTTTGTTCCTGCCTGCCACTAGACTGTGCAGTGAAACTGCATAGAAGACCACAACATGAATCTTAAAGGTTCTGAAAAACTCAGAAAGATTTCAATAATGGGATTCTATGCGGTTGGTAATGAGTTGTGTGTGTTTTAAAACAGGGCATTCTTTGGACAAGCTGTATAGCTAACCGTGTGGCTTCTGCGAGAGTCACAGTAGTAGATACCGCCACAGAATAAGCATAGGGCACTATATCTCACATTTGCCGTAAACACGCACAGCTGACATTCATCATGACATGGCTTTGTAGTCCAGAAGCATGTTTTCTTCTCCAATATAGTCGCATTCTGCACACTTCTTTATGTTAGCTTTAATGCGTTGCAACAAGCACTATATGTGTATCAAATCAGACATAACAGTGCAAAGTCTGAGGTTCTCACAGCGATGACTATGAAGACTGTCTTACAGGATGTGAAGCTATGTAGTCTGATACATCATTATCGACATTTCGGAGGAACATGCAGCCTGTAACTTCAAAATGGAAGAGACCTTTTATACTGTGAACATATAGGCAGCATGTTCCTTCGCTCTTTAACATGAAGATGGAGTCAGAATATTCCTCCAAGAAGTCAGTAACCATGTTACAGCGTCACATCTCACAGGACAACAGTCTTTTTTAGGCTGCGGTCAAATTAGCTCCATATTCGGCAAAAGTAGCAAATTCCCGTATAACACCAAACGTTGTTCGACTGAGGGGTATGATCTCATTTTCGGCAGTTTGTCATCAGACTATTGCCTGAATTTGACTCTGTGTCGAAACGTATTTATTGGAGACATACCTTGTTCTCGAAATGTTATTTGCAAAGCAAAAAAGGAAAGTTCTGAGTCAACGAAATTTATGAAGAGCAGGGAAAATACAGCGAATTCCTTACTGTTTTCTCACTCTTGCTGGAACAGCTGGATATGTTTTGTGAATACTTGTATGTAAGGTAACGCCTGATTTTATTTTGAAACAGACTGTATTTAAAGAAGCAGTCAAAATTTCTGAAGTGTTTATCTCCTAGTAAAGACCAGCGGTAACGTTAAGATAAGTTCAATTATTCACAAAATTTCAGTATTCATTTCATTCTCATTCATTGGCTGAGTGAGATTCTGATGCCACTGCAACTCAGTTCCACAGATTCATAGATACTTGCATGTTGTGGGACTTTTTATTTCTAGTGTCCCATAACTGTCTTTCAAAAACTATCGCAGTTCGTTTTCCATTGCAACCATTATCTGTAGTTACGGTTTACCACAGCTTGAGAGCATAACACACGGCAGCGAAGCTCACTTCCAGTAGGTCTTGCAAGTACTGACCTTCGGGAGTACCGAAATAGCGGCAGAATACGGAGTTAATATGACTGTTGTCAGAACATGACGCAGATTAGGATCCCGTCTGTCTGTATTCGAAACTGTGTTGGATAATGTAAGGAAAGTTTTTTATTTTACTCACCAATTAAAAAGAAAGTAATTAGATTCTTGAATTGAGCGTTAGCCGCAGGAAGTTCAAAAAGATGTACTCACTTGAAACTGTTTGCCTCTGAGATACAGATTTACGTGTTCTCCTGGTGCTTACCTTTCATAATTTTCCTTCACTTCTTGGTGATGCAGCCCAGTTCGTGCTTTCGCCTCTTCTGTTGTGAAGACCATTTCATAATATTAATAGATTGGATTGTCACGAGACAGCAGAGGAAGGCACAAACATCCGGGATTTGAAATCGCAATCCCAGTGTTTTAGGCAACCGAAATTGATTTTGGTTATCTTTGTGTACAGATGTGTAGAGAAGGAAATCACGAGAACCTCGCATAACATGTCTCCAAACTGAATGCCTTTCAGTATCACGAAAAGTCGAGGAATTTTCAGGAATTATTGCAAACGGAGGGGAAGTTATTTCTCATTCTTACGAAACAAGCAAGATAACTGAGGAAATGTTATAATTTATTTGTTCGTAATTGCTTCATACATTCTTGCACGTTAAATAAAGCACCATAAAATACACACCCTCTGGCTTACCGCCAGTTAATGGGCACCGTCCGCTCGCGTTACATTCTGCCACTTTCTCACTGAATATCTTCAACATAGGAAACAATCTCTGTTGTCGGAGTTTGACTGCCAACGCTGTCGTTACAAATATACACTTTGAGAGTGCGGCAGTTCACACGTCTAAATTTGTTGAGGTGTCAGACGTCGAATAAACTTGGATAAAACTAGGCGAGTTATCACATGACGAAGCGTGTCAGTCCCCAGATTCAGATGTATGACAGAATATAAAGGCTTATCAGTTTCATTGTTGTTAGTTCTGTTAACCGTAGTTTTGTCAGATTAACGGAAATAATATGGGGCACAGACAAACGAGCTGTTACTACTTACACGTCAGTGGAAAGGTGACACCCTGGTGGAAAAGAGTTTACCTAATTACTTAAGCTAGCATCCTCTTTAAATGTGGCTGCTGTTCTTTATTTGTAAAATTTGCGTTCTCTACTTTCTCATTTCAGGCCATTTAAAACGTTGTGTTCCTGTACGTTTTGCGATTTTGTACAGTTTTAAACCTACATCTCGTGGGCAGTGTTAATTTTAAATCTTATGGCACAGCTTTTAGTCTGAGTGAGTTACATTTCTGTAAAATTATTGGCTTTTTAGTTTAAAAGGATTGTTTTTCAGATAGTGCAGCTGGGGTTCAATGAAACTTTCCATACTGGGGCACAATGAAACCATAAAGAAAACGGCGACAGTTAAATCAGACGTTTTTAGATGAATATTTAATTATCTGGAGTTCTACTGTCATGTAAATAAAAAGGATTGTTTGGGTGAAAGGAACATTCAGATTCGAACCAGGGGGATTTTATGGTTCTTGAATAACCTATCAGTATTCTTAAACTTATATTTTCCATATTGATGAGGTTCTGAAGTCCGAAGTCGTTAAGTTCTTTGCTTATGTCTTATAAAATCCAATTCAGAAAATCAATTTGATAAAAATGTTAAGTGTGTTTCATTTAACTCCAAGATCTGTGCCATTGTGCCTCTCCAGTGGGGTATACTCAAATTATACAGTTATGATCTTCAATTTCTTTTGATATCTAGTGTGAAGTAATGAGAACATCTGTATACCAATAGGTTAACAATATATTGTGCTTCATGTAAGTGTTTCAGGAAAATATGTTGAACATATTTGAAGACTGACGAAAAAACAAATTTTCTGTTTTATTGTATTAAATCTTCCTCTGTGGTTTGTTACCTATTTGCTCTGCTTGTACGTCGATTTGCTATTTAAGTCACATAACTGGGAGCTAAAGTTTAATAGTATGGGCGTATGTGACAATGTATATATACGTAAGTGGGAAGAATTTCTTGAGCTAACTGACAATCGTTCATTTAGATTGGGTTCAAATTGTACTGTTAAGCTGAATGTTACGGGGAACTGCGAACTTTCCGCCTAATGGAAACACGTGTTATTTCGCTTCGGGGATGGTGCGCTACGGGCCCAAGTAATGTTGTGGTACAAAGAACTGGGAATGAGGGGTTTACAATTACTGGAGGAGTGAGGGACTTTGCGGAGAATCTGTTATTTTGTTCGCAGAGAGATTGACGCCTCGGTGAATTTAAAAATGAGATAATGAATGAGAACACAGAGTTAATGTCATATCAGTGAATATCATGTTAATTAAAGCGCGACTGTAACATATCAACTTATATTACAATGATGCAGGCCACCTAGCTAAACTTCCAGTCCGAATCGTTCTTTCTGCCCCGAAAACAATCCGAACGCACCCGAGAGGTATTTGTCTTTTCCGCTGACCCAGCGACCACATCGAAACATCATTACGACAGCTGGCAGATTGCACGAGTAAAGGTAAGAATCACGGCCTTCAAACTCCTGCGAAGGTACTAACAAATGCACGTGTTGGTATGGTAGTTCAAAGAAAGGAAATGCTTCATAATCTTTACCCTGGCTGTACCATAATTATACACGAGGAGCAGAACGCTTTTGACCTGATATAATTTAGCTATGCGATTTTCTCTTTAGTTCGTATTGGAAGGCAAGCAATAATTACTGTTCATCGCGTAGCCCAGTATTCTCAAACCCTATTCTGCAGAACCGTGGGGCTGTAACGGCTAGTTTGAAAATTAATGCCAGCAATCTTGTATAGTTTTAAATGCGAACACTAAATCTATCCACATCTAAATTCGCTGAGCAAAATTATATGTTCTTTGCACAAAGTACCTAAACTGAACCCAAAATGGAGACATGACTGCCTATCGGCATGTTAATCATATCTGAATTTGGCATTGGGGTCTACGTTTTCGTTTTCTTTTCTTTTCGGCTCTCACTGCAGTGACGATTAATATTTTCTTCTGAACCGTGTAGTCTGGTAGATTGGGCCGAACTTTTCTGGGGAACATACCTTGAAAGTAGTGTCAACCTAGAAGACCACACAATATGAATGCAGCCCCTATTTTACGTGACGCTGAAATAAAAATTATAATTTTCTGCATGAGAAAGTACATAGAGTACTTTTTTCTCTCCTCTCGCTCCCACTTTGGAGTATACGGCTGATTTCAGTTTCATGATCAGTTTTACAGACGGTAGGACTCCTTGGACGGGTGATCAGCTCGTCGCAAGGCCTCTACTTAAAAACAGAATAACACAAACAGAGAATAAACGCATACACACACCAAATATCCATGCCTCGTGTGGGATTCGAACCCAAGATCCTGGCTCCCGAGCGAGCGAAGACAGTGCATGCCTTAGACGGCTCGGCTACGGTTACCGGTATGACATAGAATATAGACTTCATTAAATGTCAATTTCAAACGTTTTTCTTTCACTGTGAACATTTAACGAAAAAGGACCATTATTAATAATCGCGCCGTTTACTGTGAAGAGACGAAGCATGCAATCAACACATTTGTCTCAAAGCAGGCTACAGTATTACCCAAACCTCTGTTGGTCAGACTACTTTCGTGACAGCAGGCCAGCTTTGCCTTCGAGTTTGCAGGTAGGCCTGTCCATTAACTTACCTGAGACCTGCGTTTCCAGGAGTGATTACGAACTCAAAATATTTATTAGTCCTCGTTCCACTGCTTATGATTTTCATTTAAAATGTATAATTATGTTAGTATTTATAACGTCCATTTCAATCGAATACGAATCCATTCATTTTTATTTTAGGCAAGTGCCGTATTGTGCCTAATCGTGACGAAAAACCAAAAGCAAATGCGAAATCGGGGTATCTATATTACGTAAGCCGGGGGATACTTATCTTGTATTCGATATTCAGTCTACGTAGCATGGAGATGTACCTATGCAACCCCAATGAAATATCGGTTTAATACATCTGAACATCAGAACGGTATTTGACTTAATTTTCGCAGTGAGTAATTTATCACGTCATGTCGTGTCATGCAGGTACGGGATGTCTACAGCGCAGGAAGCAAATGGCAAGTTCAAATTAAATTTATCAAAGAACACGTTCACTTTTCGATGTTTGTTGTCATGTGAGTGTTCCCGCGATTTAGAACGTTATGTACTCTTTCATTATTGACACCTTACAATATGCATAATGAGTTGAATATTATAAGCTTACAATATGCATAATGAGTTGGATATTATAAGTTACTCACACACTACATATATCAGTTATTCATTTGGAATCGATCGAAAACAGAATTCTGCTGCTACAAGGTGAAAGAAAATTCTTCTAAATGAGAAATTTATCCCAATCGAGTTCCACGCACGCTGCAACACATGATGTAACTTTCATTTCATTTCCGACTGTCCTTATAAGCAACCAGGTTCTCCGTATGTGCTGTATATACTCCTGCTGTATTGTATAAACACTTACACAGTGTGTCCAAGTTATGTTAGGACTGTGTTCATTAAAAATACAAAAGGTGAATTATTTTCAAAATTTCACTTTTTATTCAAAATAGTATCCCTCTGAATCACTACGTAGCTGGAATCGATTGAAAAGTTTTCGAAAACAGTCACTGTACTATTTTTGTGGAATCGCATTTAAAACTGCGGCACATCCCCTTTGGATGTCCTGGATGGTGTCGTGACGGTCTCCTTTCATCGCCAAGTTAACTTTTGGGAACAACCAGAAATCTGCTGGAGCCAAATCTGGCGAATACGGAGGATGATCAAGGACTGTGATCCCTTTTCTGGCCAAAAAATCGCGCACGATCTTCGATTTGTGGGGTGGGGCATTGTTGTGAAGGAGAGACCAAGAACCTTGCTCTCGATATTCAGGTCGAATTCGAAGAATTCTCGCACACAAACGATTGAGGGCTCTGAGATAATAATCAGAATCCACTGTTTGACCTTCTGGGAGAAATGCCTTGTGAATAATTCCTTTGGAACCGAAGAAAACGGTTAGCACTGTCTGTACTCGACTCTTTTGATGCGCACTTTCTTTGGTTTCGGCTTCTTTGGGCTCAACCACGCTGCACTCTGCCGCTTTGTGAGAGGCTCATATAGAAAACACCATGTCTTGTCACCAGTAACAATCGATTTTGTAAATTTTTGCAGTGTTCCACTCTGGCATGTTTTTCATCGCCTGACAGCGCGTGCGGTACAAACCGCGCACAGACCTTCCGTTTGCCCAAATCTTCGGTCAAAATTTGATGCACAGTACTTTTTGGTATTCCCAAAATCTCCTCGATGAGTCTTGCAGAAACACATCTGTCTGATGCAAGGATTTCGGTAATTTTTTCCACATTTTCTTCAGTGCGACTTGTTCTCGGCTTTCATGCACGTGGAGCGTCACGAAATACAGCATACCATCGAAAAATGTTCGAGTGACTAAAAGAAATCACTACCGTACACACTTTTCTTCATTTCGTACGCTTCGGCGTCTGTTTTGTCTAACTTCAAACAAAATTGTATGCTGGCTCTCTGTTCAACCGCCATTTTCCGACGAGCGTCAGAACGGTAATGTTACATTTAAGGTCAGAACATATATATGGTACAGCAATGCTTGCGCTTTGGAATTGACAGCCACAGCTGAAACTTCAAGAATCTTAACGCCACATCTCGCTAACAGATGGCATTGCAGGGGGGGGAATGAGTCCTAACGTATCCTGGACACACCGTGTATATTATTGCAGGTTATATTAATGAGCAGCCCATTGTAACTTGAAACGTGCTTATTTTTCATTATCTTTTTTGGCACTGCACTAGTAAACCTCCATGCAATCACAACAAAGCCAACCAGATCCAGCCCCTTCGGCTGGGTGATGCATTCGGTATCATTTCTTCGCGAAGGTTATGGTCACTTTTTTCTCAAAAGATCTGAATATTTCATTCGCATTAGCGTACATTAAATTCATAAGATTTATTATAGGAAGCTAACACAAGAAATGTAATTATTTATTTACAGTAATTTTCATCTCTGACGCATACAAATATAAAGAGAGATTTTGAGGAATATTTATAAGTCAGCACTAAGTATACTTTTACTGTATGTTTTAAACTATGGAGTCACTTTGGTACAGTTCATGCGGATTTACGTAAATTAACTTTTGAAAAGCACGGTGGGCATTATTCTACATTTTGGAAATCTGGTAATTCCGTACCCACAGGCAAACTCCCGCCGTGTTGACGTATCTAATTATCATGAAGTGTGGCACTGCACACCGTTAGGTCTAATCAGCTGCCCGCAATTTTATACGTTTATGTAATTGCAAATGAGTGCAAAAGAAATGCTTTCTGTGCCATATCGGAATTGATTCTCTGGCTGGCTCAAGTATGAGAGGTGACTGGGGTTTGGCCTAAACTGATTCTTGACATTGATAACGAAGATCACGGTGAGCTGAAAGCTCTGCGAACCTAATCAGAAGCAACAGCGAGCAGATAACTGATTTTGGGCTGTGGTGATAGAACATTTAAGGGAAAATGGAAACGTGAGAGCCAGCTGGAACACACCCACAGTGCCACACAGGGGGTGCTTCCTTCGGTGTCCGGTGAGCATTCGCTCAACCCTGAGAATCGTCTTATTTGCATGAAAGAGGCTAGCCTGTTAGTCTCTCCCCTCTCCAAATTTCACGAACCATGCGTAAGATAGAATTATTAACGTACACAGGTCTGATTCCAACGTACAGTTTTTGCTTCGTTCCAGATCTTGTGCTGCACTGAGATCGCAAGAGTGAAGAATACCAACATGAAATCAGTCACGACTCAGAAAACGAACAGAAGGTGGCGTTTGGAAGTTACAACCAACTGGAATGTTTTCACAGGAAAATATTAATTGCCACGTCTCAGGCACTGCGTCCAGAAGTTGGAGCAACTGTGTGTCCCTCATCTTTATGTCAGCTCTAATTTCTGTTTAGGTTTATGGTTACGTCGGCACCTCCTGAGGCCAAAACGATCTCTGGGAAGTGTCACATTTCAGTACCATAATGTAATGTTACGTAAACAATGTTGCAGAAATTATATAACAGTGAACTGATTCGAGCTCGCCGCCGGCTTATTAGCGGCCCCTTCACGTGGCTAGGCCCAGCAGCGTGACTGTCTGTTCGACCTGATATAGCGGCCAGAATATACAAATTTTCCCTGCATATTGGCACCGGTGGTTGGTTGCCTTTATTCGGTGTCACGTTAACTGTGGAAAGTGCCACAACCTGTTTACTTTGCCATATTCACAAACTTATAATCATTCTATTCAGATGCACTCCTTGTTGTCAACAAAGCTACACCAAGTTCCACCATCTAATTATAATAACGAACGTGTGGAAAGTATCATGTTTTCGAGTCTGCCAAAACTAGAATTAAGATAATCAATGAAATACTGTCAATTCTGCCTCATATGTCGAGGCATTTTAATTATTATCTCCCACCCTCCAACTTCCAGATACTTTCACCTTCTGCTCACAAATCTGATGTAGTCGAGGATTTCTTTTTGGTCGGTCAAGGTTATTGCGTCACCTCCCATGATTGATCTGTGGAGGCAACCATTGCTATCACGCACAGTAGAGTCTCAGGGAGGAGAGAAAAGGTGGAGGGGCATGTAAATGCTTGATGACCTTCACAGGTCAGAAGAAATTTCCCCGACTGTAGTTTCAGATGGGGCCGAATAGCCTCTTGCCCTTCGTGACCAGCATGCTGACCACCATAACCGACATCAGGAAGAAGACGAGACCAAGCAGTGACGTCACCAGCCGGCACCAGCAGCGCCTCCGTTTGGCCACCTTGATCTTCAGCATTAGGCACTCCGCTCGGTGCATGTCCAATGTGAAGTCGGGCTGTATAGGAGCAAAAGAGAAATACCTGAGTTTACGGATTGCCCTGAATTTCACCTCGGGTGTCGGTAGCTATAAGGCAGCTCCACCCGAATGCACCAACTTTAACTGAATATTTTGCTCCGTTCGAAACTTGAAATATTTCTCGTATACCCACAACTTTGGTCACCGCTATATATATATTCCCTTTCCCTCATTATATACAATAATGTCGGAATATGCCATGCTTACCTAACGCACTGAGTAGCGTGCAAGTACAGGGTTATTCTTAAGTCCGTGAAACATTTTAAAAATTCACAACAAATAAACTATGCATCGGATCATGGTGCATGTATTTCTTAAGCCGATAGAGAATGAATGTCTCCAAGTTTTTTTTAAGCCATTGCCTGCTAATCTCAGGGATCTTCGCAACCGTATCACCGCTGCTGTGGCTCTGTTCAATCATAACATGCTGACACGGGTGTGGGACGAAATGGATTATCGCATAGATGTCTGCCGTATCAGCAAAGGTGGACATATTGAGCATTTGTGAACTATGTAAAAAAAAAAACTGGTGAGTTTATCTCTATTTCAGTATCATAAAAATTGGTATCCACTGCGTACTTTATTTATTGTAAATTTTCAAAATGTTTCACGGACTTATGAATAACCTTGTATACTGGGCTAGCCAGGTAAGTAGACTTGGCGTTGCAGTGGCAACGAAAATTTATTTTCAAATTGTCGACAGGAACTCTTTCTTTCAAACCTACTATTACTGAAGATGGTACTATTTAACCAACTAAGAGTGCAAAGCATTCTCATGACCGTATGTATGAATCTGAAAATTGAAATCAAACACCTAGAAGTAGCGGGGATGTCACTGCTATAAATTTCCCTCTAAGTTTTGTCCAATATCCTTCTCTCAAGGTTAAGCCCATATACACGTATAGATGAAATTACTTTGGACCATCAGTGTCGGTTTCCACGTAAAAGATCAACTCCTGATCAGACTTTTTGCCTTCTTGAGGTACTGGAGGGAAAAAGAGAGTACAATTAGACAGTACATCAGCCTATAAGTCAGTTACGAGGTACAGAGTGCACAACATTCTCATACAGTCTAGGGTAATCATGCAAATACTGTAGTTAGGCTGCTTAAAATGTTTTTAAACGAACGTAATGCAAAGTCCGTACAGGTAAACATTGGTCTGATAAATTTTCCATCCAGAATGGTCTAACACAGGGAGATGCTTTATTGCCAGTGCTTTTCAACTTTGCATTGGAATATGCCATTAGAAACGTTCAGAAAAACCAGGGGTGGCTGAAATTAAGTGGCAAAAATCAGCTTCTTGTCTATGCTGATAATGTGAATCTACTGGAAGATAACATAGCTACTGTAAAGAATGACATAGGAACTTTAATTAACGCTAATAAGGAGGTTGATCTAGAAGTAAGCGCAGAGAAAGCTAAGTATAGTTTGCTGTTTCTTCACCAGAATGCAGGTCAAAATCATGATGTACAGACAGCTAACGGATCCTTTGAAAATGTGCTGTAGTTCAAATATCTGCGAACTACAGTAATAAATCAAAATTTTATTCAGGAGGAAATTAAAAGGAGAGTGAATCCAAGTAATGCTTGCTACCATTCAATTCAGAACCATTTGTCTTCTCATCTGCTGTCTAAAAACGTAAAATTTAGAATATAGAAAATTATAATTTTGCCTGTAGTTCTTTGTTGGTGTGAAACTTGGTCTCTGACATTAAGGGAAGAACATTGACTGGGAGTGTTTGAGAATATATTGCTGAAGAGAATATTTGGACCGAAGAGAGATGAGGAGCTGGAAGGTTGGAGAAAACTGTATAATGAGAAGTTTCATAACTTGTACTCATGGCCAAATATAATTAGAATGACTAGGATGAGATGGGAAGGGCATGCAGCACGAATGAGGGTAAAGAGGAATCTATAAGGGATATTGGCGAGAAAGCCAGAAGAAGTGAGACCACTAGGAAGGCCAAGATGAAGGTGGGTGGATAAAATTTAAAAATTGATTTCAGACAGGATGTGATGGGATGACATGGACTGGGTTGACCTGGCTCAGCATAGGGAGAAGTGAGGAGGAGTTCTTGAGTAGCTGCACAACTGTCGGCTTCTCAAGATGGGCTCACCTCCATAAAGTGCGTTAGTTAGAATTCTCATGAATGACCTGCTGTAATTCATGTCTTTAACATGTACGCGCCAAGTACATTGTTGAATACAGTTCCGTAAGTTGGAATTTTCACCTCTAAAACTACCCAACGTCATTTTAAACACAGATAAAAGTTAAAGTTATCCATATGCTTTAACCAATTAAGCACTACGCTATGAAGGCGTATGGGGGAGTGGATGTATACATCCACATTTCCTTGACCTCGGCACTAGCTGGAGTTGAGTAGTCAGCTTCACACCCCGGCCGCTTTACCCCAGGTGAAAGAGCCCTCTGTACCCATTTGATAGGAGGTTGGGTAGACCCCAGGGCCGGTCTGCAGGACGCGGAGAAGAGAAAATTCTTGACTCTACTGGGACTCGAACTCCGATCCCTCGGTCGTCCATCCCGTAGCCAGTCGCTATACTGACTATGCTATTCCGGCTCCTATTTTAGAAACAGACAAACATAAAAAAGAAATCGCAAAATTTGTAGCTGTTTGCACGCTCGACAGATCTGCAGGGCTGTTATTTTGAAGACATTAACAGACTTACAAGAAGCTATATTATTAACTTATCGGTTACAGTGAAAAGAAACTTCCAAGCGACATAATAATGAATGTCTCGAACATTCTTCGAGTTTTCTTGGAATGGCTTCGCAGATCCAATGTTCAAAATCATGTTCAAAAACCCTGCAACACCATATTTATTTATAATGCCCACAAACCTCATAACCGATAAAAATACACTCTTCGTGAAACCGCCTTGTTTTTATTTTACATTTTCTACAAAACTTCCGAATCCTGCATCCTACATTGCTCCCATCCGAGAGGTCCGGACAGCCAACTCCTTTACTCTTTACACTGCAAAGTAAGGAAGTGGATGAAATCTCAAAATTGCGTAACATTCATATTAAATTTAATGACAATGACCCAAACACAAAATCCAAACAGCAATTAATGATTTAAACAAAACATAGGCGTGTGCGTGAAATGCTCACATTCTCCCGGCTAAAGCGAGCGGGGATCACGCTCGGAGCGTTTTGGTCTGGCACAGTTGCTCAGTAGAGTGTGAAGTATTGCTACTCTCTGTTTCTATAACACTAATTACACAACTTCATCATCATCTGCTGACTCGTTTTTACATTTTTAAAAGCAGGAGATTTGAAACCAGTCTCCTAGCCACAAGAGCCTTGTGTACCTCTCTTGAAATGTCTAAGTACCAAACAGTTGTCTGTTGCTTCACTCGAGCTGAGAGACAGTAGCCAGGAATTCTTCCCAAGTCAACTTCTCTCGTGAGAAAACGTGTGCACCAGTTGGAGTCACAAAAAGTAGTTAAACCGGTAAACAGAGCATAAAACACTTTCCTTATAAAAATTCTCAACTTTGTCCAAAGGAGCCAGTAGAGTGGGTGGGTTTGAATCGCGCCAGCTTTGCTTATATGCCGATCGGCGGCCCGCCCTACCGGTTGTATATTTGGGTTAAAGCTGTCATAACGTGAAGCTGACCGCACAGTTCTCTTTCAGGGTGTGGAACATATGCAGAATAAGTTGAAAATGACTGCACAACGAAGTACAGTGGCGTACGGTCTTGCAATTCTCATTTAGATTTTGAAGGCCTTGCGGCAGGCCATGTTCTACGGTCCGTCTTAATCCTCTTAGACGAGTTACATTAAAAGGAAACAAAAATATCACGTAAACTGTTGACCGTTGAGAGAGTGAATTGTTCACCACTTGGTAATAGCACAGTACATAAAAAAACATCTGCCGCGGAGTCAGTCAGGCAGTCAGACACCAGGTAACGGTGATAAATTGTCGGTTCTTATGTAACACACACAGATACTATCTGTTATCTGATGGCAAGAGCAGACACAAACAGAAGCACAAAGGGTGGAGAAAGAAAAGTGAAAGCAGAAGGAATGTCGTGCGCTATGAGGGAAAGTAGTAACTGGGCTGTCACTTGTGGACATATCTGTGCACTGCGGAACACATGAAATGGGCGCCTTCCCTCCTCATTCGTCTTTTGCTACTGCACCCTCATCTTTGTTTACTTTTCTATAACATTTAAATAGCTATACATTTAATATTTAATCATGTGCCCTACCATATATTTAATTGTTAACCTTTGAAATAGTTTGTATTTACGAAGACTTCTATCTTCTGAGATACAATACTGTACATGTATGCTACGTTGAAAGTCCACCCGTGTTTCAGCGAAACATATCTTCACTATCGTCAGGTAGGCAATGTAGGCAAGAAGCCAGCAGGAAGCAAAGCTGAACTCTTCTTGCTTGGTTTACTCTTCACCCTTAAAAGTGGAAATAACATGTTCCCTTGAAACGTCGGTTGGCTTTTAACGAACTGTATGGCGCAATATCCCAAAAGACAGAACTCTTCACAACCACTGCTCTGAGAATCTCAAATCCTGTAATTTATATTTAACTTATGTTTATATCGTTTAAAATTGGAAACATTCAGGACTCCATTTCACGAAGTGTACGAAATGGAAGTCTGTCTGTTCATCCGCCCTGTTTCCGATTCTACTACACCGAGTTAGATCAAAATTGGCACGGGGGGGGGCACATTAGGAGCTGTCATGAGAATCGTATAAGTGATGTGATGTTCAAATACAGTTTGGATCCAATCATACTACAGAATTGATAAATGACATAAAATACTGATCTTCGTAACATCTTAAACTTTCTTTGAAAATATTTTTCATATTAATGCAATGTTTAATCCATTATTATTAAAGCAGTTTTGTCTATCATGGTTAGTGTTTGGTGAATTTCTGAGCTGTTCCTGTGGACTTGCCACCTGCTTAACATTAAAAAACTCTGCATTTTCC